GCCTCATAAATGTGTATTGACAGAGCCTGGGGAGCAGCTTTGGAAAAATATCCTAAAAGTGTTCAAAGAAGGAGGATGAAATAAAAGGCTTGATCTGCTTAAAATCGTAGACTCTCAGCTGGGATTGAATGTGTTGACATCGGAGTGTTTAATACTATGCTCGATTTGGCTAATTGGCTTTGGCTGATTGGTGCTTGGATTCAACCGCGGTCAAGAGTTAGTGAGTTTGACGGATCTCAGAGGGAAAGTGGAGGGAGGGAGAGATTAACCAAATAATTTATAAGCATATAAGCATAACCACTACAAAATGCTCTTTACAGGGCACGGTGCACTCACAGGGCTGCTTCTCATCGTAGCCCGTGCCAGACACTTAGTTTTACCCGGCGTAAATGCTGCAGCAGAAAACTAGACAAGAGGAAAGGAGGGTCTACATGTCTCCAACTTCAACCAACTCCCAACCAACCTGTTACAGTTGTCAGTGGCACTTGGCCGGGGGCTTTAACTAGACTGGGGAAAATCTCCTATCAGAGGTTAATTGTAACACTGTGCACCCCTAGGTTTGGAGGAAATTACACCTAGCACCATTTCCTTTCTGGGAGAAATGCCCAAATATCCAAACACCCAACCTTCAAAATGGAGGCAGTGAAGCAAGAGGAGAGAGTGTAGGTGGCGCTACTATGGCTCACTGAGAAGTCAGAGGAAAGAGGGCCTTGGGTACAAGTTCAGGGCATTCACCTGGGACTAGCTGCTGCTGCCCATTGCTCTCCTGGTTGCAAGTCTCATGGGGACCCTTAGAGTTTAGGAGATGCATGCCTGAGAGGGAGGAAAGGGTGTGGGATTGCTCCTGGGAGGGAGAGCATGCCTAGAACACTTTATATGTGGAATATTTCCCAATCCATTGTGAGAGAAAAATAAATCAGTAATAGATTCAAAAAAATGTCTTATATTCTGACACCATAAGCAAATGATTATATTTTCAAATGACTGTTCCCTGTTTCTCATAATGCTGACTCCTTGTAAGTCCCAGTTATTTTTTAACACTTTGTGTGGTGCGTTTTTGATATATTTTTATTGATTTCAGAGAGGAAGGGAGAGGGGGAGAGAGCTAGAAACATCAATGATGAGAATCATCAGTCTGCAGGCTGATCCTCTATCCACTGAGCCAAACCGGCCAGGGCTGTAAATCCCAATTCTTAATATTCCTAGTTGGTGCCTTTGATATCAGGGAACCTCTATTATGGGCCAATTTTTATATATATTTATTTATTTGTTAATCCTCACCTGAGGATATTTTTTCCATTGATTTTTAGAGAATGGAAGGGCAGTGGGGGAATTGGGCAGAGAGAGAGACATCAATGTGACATAGACACATTGATCGGTTGCCTCCTGCAGTGATGGCAACTCCAGTCCTCAGGATATTCCTCAACACATACTTCCTCCCAGTGTCAGTCCAATGCGTTCTTACTTTCCATACCCACTTTTCCCCATTTCCTGCTACTTCTGTGATGAATCAAAGCCCACACCTCACTTTCTGGTCATACAACCTCTACTTCCTTTTTTTGTTTGTTTGTTAAAATATACTTTTATTGATTTCAGAAAGGAAAGGAGAGGGAGAGAGAAATAGAAACATCAATGATGAGAGAGAACCATTAATCAGCTGCCTCCTGCACGCCTCCTACTGGGGATCGAGCCCGCAACCTGGGCATGTGCCCTTGACCAGAATCAAACCCGGGACCCTTCAGTCCGCAGGCTGAGGCTCTATCCACTGAGCCAAACCAGGTAGGGCTCTACTTTACTTCTTTTTGATTAGCGCTATTCTCCCTGTCTTACCTAGCAATATTCCAAGATAATTTTCTAGCTATGTGACATGTTGATTGATGCTACTCCTTCCATCTTCTGCTCTGGAACTTCTTACATATCTGGGCAGTGCCTCCTCTTCTTTTGCCAGCTGAAGAATCCCATCAGCAGATTTTTGAACTGGAGCTACAGCTGATGCTTTCCAAAACCTGTGTCCCATGTCTACTACAGGCCAGTTATGTCTTTGGCCATGGGCTCCTCTGTAATCTCTTGTCTTCCCTGAAACTGGTGAATTTTCCAGGCCTAGAGTGAAAAGTGTCAGTTGGAGAGGAACATAGTACATAGCAGAGAAGACAGTGGATCTGCTGTCTCTGTCACTTAATAGTTCTACAACCTTGGACTTTTCCATGCCATCTCTTTGTGACTTGAGTTGGCTTCCTCATCTGTACCTACATTATAGAGCTGTGAAAAGGATTGAGGGAGTGTGTAGAAGTAAAGCTCCCAGAAGAGTTCCTGGCAGATAGTAGTTGCTCAATAAATCTGGCTATTATTAGTTATTGTGTAACTTCAGTAACAATGAACAAAGATTTTTCTTCCCCATTTTCCTGTTAGTGGGGATTGAATCTGATCTCAAAATTTGCTCCTCTAGTGTTTTAAGGATGTATAATGAGGTTTATATATTTTATTTAAAAAAATTTTTTGTTTATTGATTTTGAGTGAGAGAGGGAGAGAAAAAGAGAGAGGGAGGGAGGGAGGGAGAGAGAGAGAGAGAGAGAGAGAGAGAGAGAGAGAGAGAAGTTGTTCCACTTATTTATGCATTCATTGGTTGATTTGTGTATGTGCCCTGACCAGGGATAGAACCTGAAATCTTGGAGTATCAGGATGACACTAACCAACGGAGCCACCAGGCCAGGGCTAGGTTTGTATATTTTAAACCTTCTCCATAAGGTTGTTTTGTTTGACAGTACCATGTGTAGAGCTAATGCAACTTGCTATATCCAATAGTAATAAAAGCAATAGCTAACATTTATTTTTATTGAGATTAATTACCATTACACTGTATAAGTTTAAGGTAAACAACATATTGATTGGACACATTTATACATTGTAGTGTGATTACCATCATAGTGTTAGCTAACACCTCTATCAAGTCACATAATTATCATTTCTTTTTTTGTGGTAAGAACAATTAAGACCTAGTCTCTTAGAAACCTTGATGTTTATAATACAGAATTATTGATGATATACACTATGCTGTCTTCTAGATCTCCAGAACTTTTTTATCTACTAGATGCAGGTTTATAACCTTAAACGACATCTCCCCAACTCCCTGGTCCCCAGCTGCTGTACCCACTTTTCTTCTCTCCATTTCAGTTTTTTTAGATTCCACATATAAGTGACATTACACAGTATTTGTCTTTCTCGTCAGACTTATCTCACTTAGCATGATGCCCTCAAAATTCATCCATGTTGTCACAAATGGCAGGATTTCCTTCTTTCTCATGGCTAAAAAATATTTCTTTGTGTATGTATGGAGCGGCTCTAGGGTCAAGCCTTGGCCTTTAGGGCAGAGCTCTCCTAGCATAATTAAGCCTGACCTTGTAGCCCTTCCTAATTCCTTTCTAAGAAGCTAATTGGCTGTGGGAGGTGCAGCAAGTGTTGCCAAAACAAGAACCTTTGTATACATGTTAATCTCCCTTGTTTTAATCAGACTATAAAATAAACGCGCTGTATTGGCTTTGGGTCTCTATCTCTCCATCAGAGAACAGCTGTCCCACCCAGCCCCAGCTTTTTCCTTCTATCTCTGTGCCTGTCTCTTTCTTTCATTTTCTCAATCCCCAGCCGCCCCTACTCAGGAACCAGACCGCTCTCTAGCCATGCTGGGCATGAAAAAGAGAGAAATATTTACATGTGTCTGTATCCCACATCTTTATCCATTCATCCTTTGATAGACACTTAGGTTGTTTCTATCTTGGCTGTTGTGAATAATGCTGCAATAGACATGGGTGTGCAGATATCTCTTTGAGAAGTTATTGTATCAGTGTTTGCTGCTTAACATATCCACCCAAAATTTAATGGTAGAAAACAATAACCATTTATATAGCTAAACATTCTATAAGTTGGATTGGTTGTCTGCCCTGGGACAGCCTGAGTGATCTCCGCTGGGTTTACTCAATCAAGGCATCCAAACTGGAAAGGAGGAAGTAAAACTGTCAGTATTTGCAGACGATGATATTGTATATAGAAAACCCTAAAGACTCTATCAAAAAACCCCTACTATGTCTAATAAATGAATTTGGCAAAGTAGTGGTATACAGAATTAATATTCATAAATTTGTGGCATTTTTATACACCGATAATGAACTATAAGAAAGAGAAATTAAGGGAAAAAAATCCCATTTACTATTGCAACAACAACAACAAAAATAAGGTACCTAGGAATAAATTTGACCAAGGAGGTAAAAGACCTGTAATCAGAAAAGTATAAGATACTGAAGGAAGAAACTGAGGGAGATACAAATAAGTAGATGCATATGTGGTGAGCCGGCACGGCCATGGCATACTCAGCACCACGTTGGGCACCTAATGTGCCGCGCCAGCTCAGTCAGATTCGGTGACCCTGAGAGCAGGTGGTGAAGGATTGAGAAAAGACAGACAAGAGAAGAAGGCTGGGTCTGGGTGGGACGCTGTCCTCTCTGATGGAGAGCTAGTGACAGTGCCACAGACTACAAACCATGTCTTTATTTTATAGCCACATTCCCTGAGGCAAAGTAAGAGCATGGTCAAGATGTTTACATCATTCTCGTGGGTTTTGATCCTACTCAATTACATGCACCTGAACTCTATCAAGCCCACATCACTTAGGGCCAGTGGTCAGCAAACTGCGGCTCGCAAGCCACATGTGGCTCTTCCACAAAATACCGACTTCTGCGCATGGGCCACGAAGTTTCAATCGCACTGTACGTGCACGCCCGCACGTGGTATTTTGTGGAAGAGCCACACTCAAGGGGCCAAAGAGCCACATGAGGCTCACGAGCCGCAGTTTGCCGACCACTGACTTAGGCTCATGGGGCCACGTGTTTGGACGATAGGTTCAAGCTTACAACCATAGCTGTTGGCTATAATTGTGCTGGGAGGGCTCTGCCGTCCAAGCTGGGACTTGCACGTGGCTTTGCCATGAGAGGACTGTGCCCTCTCATTAGCCCAAGGCTTGAACCTGTCCAAACACTATAGCCGCTCTCCACAAGCACATACTGTGCTCATGTATAGGAAAAATTAAGACCATCATTAAAATGATGCAGAGTTAGTCATTCCTTCAAAGGGAATCAAAATATACAGCTGTTTCCTTGCCCTGGAAGCCAGACAGAGGACAAGATTATGGAAAACAGCTGGTTCAGCCGTTGTTGGATTGATGGCAAACACGATGTCTCTTTCCAGGCCTGAAAATCGACGGACACTGTCCAATACAATGTGCTTGCCCATGATATATGATGCATTTCCTATTACTAACAGATCAGATTCCTCACTGGACTGAGACCATTTTCTCTTCCTCATTGCTCTCTGAAGCTTAGATTTATATATGTGTACATCACTTGCTATGCTGCAAATCACAGCAAAATCCTTGCAGGAATATCCAGCTTCCAAAAGTGAATGGCATTTTTTGGCTATATAATCCACCATCTGCTCCATATCCTTGTGCTTACTCATCTCTAAATTGCCTGGAACACCTTGAGACCATTCAGCTTCACTGAAGATATTCAGGGACTCCCAGGGGATGTTAGGTGGTGGATTTTCTCTGACTTCGTGCATTATTTCTTGTAGGTAGTTGGCTATTTTGTCTGCATTGCGGACCACTCTGATGAGCTCTTCTCTTGGGTACTGGTATTGGAGGTGGGGGAGGCCACAGCAGTCTGTGTGACTGGTCTGAAAGTAGTCCAGAAAGATCCAAAGAATTCCAGGGCCATCCTTTCCTCTCTCAGTGATGGTTTTTGCCTTCTCATACCAGTTCCCATCTTCAGTGCGGAAATTCTGAGCTTCGTCGATGATGATGTGTTTAATCTTTTCAAAGTTTGAGTTTGTTTTCATGAAGGTTTTTCGAGTCACTGAATAGCAGATATCTTTATTACTGTAAAAATTAAAAAGACACAATCAGGTTTCCTCCAAGTATATAAAGGAGGAAAATTACTGTGTCATACTCCTATAAACACAGAACTGTTGTTACAGATCAATTTACCACCCTACTGTCAGGAACAAAGTAATACCCTAGCCAGTTTGGCTCAGTGGATAGAGCATTGGCCTGCAGACCAAAGGGTCCCAGGTTCAATTCTGGACAAGGGCACGTACCTCAGTTGCCTTTCCAGCCTGGACCCTCCCCAACCAATCAATGGGTCATCGATATTTATCTCTGTCTTTCCCTCTCTCTTCCACTCTTTCTAAAAATCAATGGGTAAATATTCTCGGATGAGGATTTTAAAAAAAAGAACAAAGTGATCTGAGTAGAGGAAGACATGGAATGATTTCACACTGCACCTCATTTGGTGACAACAAGATCCAACTGCTTACCCAATAAAGTCCCTCAGAGGCTGGTTCTCACAAACATAGAGAATTTCATTTTTCTCACAACCCATCGTATTTTTGATCTTCTCCATGATCTTCATGGCCACGATTGTCTTCCCTGAGCCGGGTAAACCATGGATAAACAATTCTGGGGTCTTGCGGAGGTTTTTTGAGATGATCTCATACTGTTGGACCGTGAGCAGATTTAAAAGCTCAAAGCCCAGCTGGTCACTCAGGAAAGACCTGAAGCTGAGCAAGACAATCACAAGGGACTGCAGCAAGGCTTCCATTTGCTTGGTGTCTGCAAGGTAGTAGGACTCAGGGTACTTAATCAGAGAGTCTGAACCTTCAAAGGACTCTGCATTGCTCTCAGGACTCAGGTGGAGGACCTTGGTCATGACACACAGCTTCCCGGTGTAGCCCCCCATGTTCACCAGCTTCTGCTTCAAGGTAAAGGCGGTACGGGTGCAGTACAACTGCCCATCTGCATCCTGCTCCCCGAGAATGGTATAGAGAATGGGGGGGCTGTTCTGTGTTACCAGCAGAGCATCGCAAATGACTCCCTGTTTCTCTTGCAAGTTCAGGTCCACAGCCCAGCTTCTAGAAAAGATCAAAATTCCCCGGGAGAAAGGATGCATTTCCTTCTTTAGTAATTCCTCCAGGCCTTCATACTCTGAGTACAGCTCCTTCAAGAGAGATTCAGGAGTAAATTGCAAGTCTTCTGATGATACTAGATATGAAAAGAGTTATAAATGTAAGGTCAATATCATATTTATTTGCATGATTAATTATAATTAATAAAAAGTAATTATTATACTTATACTCAATCATAATTAATCGTATGATAAATAAAATATTTTTGGTATATGTTCTTTTATAAATATTATCTATAATAATAAAAAGGTAATATACTAATTAGACTGGACATCATTCCGGACGTCCTTCTGGACAAAGTTGGGGCCAGAGGGAAGCCTGGGTCCCGGGTGCCTGCTGGAGGCCAGAGGAGGGAAGCCCGGGTCCTGGGTGCCTGCAGGTGGCCGGAGGAGGGAAGCCTAGGTCCTGGTGCCAGAGGGAAGGAAGGCCTACTCTTGCACAAATTTTGTGCATCTGGCCTCTAGTTATTTTATAATAAAGGAAAAGAAGTCTTGAAAACCTGGCACACTTCATCTAAATCTATGTGCTTATTATGTTTATAACCTTGGGAAATTCCTTAGTTTCTCTAAGACCGTTCCCTCATCTGTAAAACAAACCAAAAAAAAAACCCACAAAAACCCACATTAACAAATAGCACATTTCTTATGGTGAGAAATAAATAAAATAGCATAAAATATCTGGTTCATTGAAGCTGCTTGGGAAATGTTAGTTCTGTTGAATCTCAATTTTTCCCTGAACTGTTCCCATTGATGGAGGTAGGAGGAGCCCTCCCTGGAAGAAGGTGCTCATTAAATATTTGCAGAGAAGATGGAGCCATGTTAAACCATTTAGTCACAGAGAATTCCCTGTGGTCCTGGCCTGAGAGACCCTGAAGTTAGGCCCTGAACTAACTCTCCTGAAGCTAAACTCTGGTATCACTCGCAGATCAGGGTGAGACTACATCCATCACAAAGTCTCCCTTTGTCATGAGGGAGCAAAGAACAATGATGTGACATGAGAATAACGTAGGGTTTTAAACTCTTTCAATGATCATTTGTTCCAAAGATGGGGAGAAGTGGACAGGGAGAGAAGAGACTGTTTTATCCTGTTGTGCTGGTGTCAGATTTGTAGTAGTAATTTTAAGTTAAATTAGCCAAAGTTCATTGGTAATTGTTTATTGTCTGTTGTTGCTGACTTGTACCAGGTGTTCACAAGACTTGATTATATCTGCAACCTGGATGATTGCCAGCGGGAGACGGCATCCATTATGAAACATCCAGATTTAAGAGATGTTAAAGGATGGGGGAAACACACTTCTTAGAATGGATAAAATAGAATAATATAAGGATATGTTTAAAATAAAACTTTAGAAACAAAAAGAAGTATAAAATAAAACACATCATTTGTTGCTTGTACTAGGGAGATTACAGACATCTCTGGGCCTCTCAATTGTACAAGGGAGAAATACTCATTTATTCTCCTTTTTATGAGAAAACTGGAACTCAGACAGGTCAAGGGAGTTGCCCATGGCCACACCCATAGGAAATGGCAGAGCCAGCATCCAAACCCAAGCCTCAGACACTATTGTGGTTTCCACTCTACTGCACTGCCCTGCCAGTCACACAGAGGGACTTGATAAATGGAGAAAAGCACTAAAGAATTTCATAGCACATGTGTATTATCTCATCATTGAATAGTCTTACTTTATATAACAGGACATGCTTCCTAAGGAAATGATGTCAAGGCAAGAAGTGTCCCTTTCACCCTAGCCAGTTTGGCTCAGTGGTTGGAATATTGGCCTGGGGGCTGAAGGGTCGCGGGTTCGATTCCAGTCAATAGCATGTACCTCAGCTGCAGGTTCAATCCCTGGCCCCAGTTGGGATGAGAGCAGGAGGTAACCAATTGATGTGTTTCTCTCACCTTGATGTTTTTCTCTCTCCCTCTCAATCTCTTTCCCCCCTTCCCCATCCCTTTCATTCTTTCTAAAAATCAATGGAAAAATATCCTCACTCCTTGGGTGAGGATTAAAAACTATTCTTTAGATTTTTGGTACAATTCCTGAAAATTTGACTCTTTAAAAATATATTTTTATTGATTTCAGAAAGGAAGGAAGAGAGATAGAAACATCAATGATGAGAGAGAATCATTGATCGGCTGCCTCCTGCACACCACCCCCTACTAGGGATCAAGCCCACAGCCTGGGCATGTGCCCTTGACTGGAATAAAATCTGGGACCCTTCAGTCCACAGGCCAATGCTCTAGACACTGAGCCAAACTAGCTAGGGCAAAAATTTGATTTTTATATAAGAAAAATAGATTGTTGCTCTTATGAACATACAATCTGCTATTTTGTTTTAGTTATAATTTATTCCGTGGTAATAAGCTCTACTAAAATGGAGCTCATTGAGTTTTAAAAATAGTTATCAATGTTTATGCTTACTCTTGTATCTAATACAATTTATTGTGGACAATTTTTTAAATATAAATTTGATATTCAAATGAATTTTTAAATATATTTTATTGATTTTTTACAGAGAGGAAGGGAGAGAGATAGAGAGTTAGAAACATCGATGAGAGAGAAACATCGACCAGCTGCCTCCTGCACATCTCCCACTGGGGATGTGCCCGCAACCAAGGTACATGCCCTTGACCGGAATCGAACCTGGGACCTTTCAGTCCGCAGGCCGACGCTCTATCCACTGAGCCAAACCGGTTTCGGCTGTGGACAATTTTTTAAATATAAATTTGATATTCAAATGAATGGGAAAACCTCACATGTTCCTACTGGGAATTGAACCTGGGACCTTTCAGTCCAAAGGCTGATGCTCTATCCACTAAGCAAAACTGGCTAGGGCTTATGTTACATCTTGATATAAATCTTTATTCTTTTTTATATTCATAGCAGCTACTCCTCTGGAAAATATGGCAGAGGTGGGCAATTTTTTTTTTTCTGTTGGTACAGTGTATGACTCTAGTTCAACTAGATAAAAAGATTTCCAGTCTGGATGAATGAACATCAAAATCATGTGAGTAACCATGATAAAAATGCACATTATGACATACTATCCCAGATAGTCTAAGTTATTGAGTCTGGAGTGAGGAACCAGATATCTGTACTTTTAAAAGTAACCAGAAATACTGATGATCAGTGTAATTTGAGATCTTCAAGACCAAATAGTCTTTAAGGGCAATAATAATCCTGGATTCTATATGTGGCACTGCCTCAGCCAGTGGGGTCAGTGAAGATTCATTTCTAAATTACTTATTACCAATCTACTGGCAGCATCATCATTTTGTACACATAGGTTTGGAGAGTATATTTTCAAGATTTCAAAAAACAAGCATAACCATTTAACCCCCTTATCCTAGCATAGAAACTGGCTGGTGTCAAGTAGGCAAACCACAGTTGCTACCTGAAAATAAACGTTGCTGGAGATCTTCCTTATGTTCCAGGCCTTTCTTGGAGTACACTGGTCTGCTAAGAGGAGGCCTGCTAGATAGACTCAGCTGAGATTCAAAGTCTTTGGACAATTTCAGAAGCTCTTAAGAAAGAAAAAAATTCACATTATTCTGACATGTTAGTCCATTTTTTCACCACTGCAAGAGGCCTTATAATTAGGTGTATTCTATGACTATCTAGGTCAGTGGTTCCCAACCTGTGGGTCACGAACCCTTTGGCAGTCAAACAACCCTTTCACAGGGGTTGCCTAAGACCATCCTGCATATCAGATACTTACATTATGATTCATAACAGTAGTAACATTACAGTTATGAAGTAGCAACGAAAATAATTTTATGGTTGGGTCACAACATGATGAACTGTATTTAAAGGGCCAGAAGGTTGAGAACCACTGGTCTAGGTGGTGTGACTTGAGAGATAATGACAAGATAATGCTCTATTCACCTGTGTAGACACATGTCTTTATTGCATATGGAGGTTGCCAAAATCCAACAATGAAGAGACATTATTTGGGAGTTTGAATGTGTTTCCCATTCAATATAATTCTTCACTCTCTATGTCTAGATAGCATTTCATTTGCATTTTTTATGGTATATAGCACAGTATTTTAGTAAATATCTATGTACCTGTAGCTTATTTCTGTGGTGTAATATTCTCACCACGGACAGTTTCAAGCTACCTTTTACAGTATTTCTACCATCCTATCTAATAAAGAGGGAATATGCTAATTGGCCATCACTCCCTAACAAGATGGCTACGTCCACAGCCAATAAGGAGGGAATGTGCTAATTGACTGCCATGTCCTCAAAGATGGCAGCATCCACAGCCACAAGATGGCAGCACCCAGTCCCCTCAGCCCCACTGGGGCAGCAGGCATGTAGCACGGCCGGGCCTGCCCCCAGGCAGGTTTGGCCGCTCCACGCGCCTGCCTCTGAAGTCCCCCAGTCCCCTCAGCCTCCCAGCCACTCAGGGCCGGCCCAAGGTGCAGGCAAGCCTTGGATGGCGGCTGCCCAGCCACCCAGGGCCACCTGGGCCACCTGAGACTCAGGTAACCAGGGCTGGCCGAGGCAGTGGCAGCAACAGAGGCAGCAACAGAGGTGTGATGGGGCATCACTTCTCCTGATTGCTGGGTTGCCTCCTGCCCCTGAGGGCTCCCAGACTGTGAGAGGGGGCAGGCCAGGCTGAGGGACCCCCCTCCAGTGAGTGAATTTTCATGCACCGGGCCTCTAGTACAGATACAATAGATGTAAATAACCTCACAAGCAAAGATACTATTAAAATGGAGTAAATAATTCAGAAGTGGTGAGTTTGCATTTGTTATATTTGTTTTTAATATAATTATAAGTTTATATAACTTAATTTTTAATAATGACTATGTTTAACACTGGCTCACAAAATTCTTGAAATATTAATAAATGACCATAGAGCCAGTAAGAGCTACTACAAGGCAACAATTCCCCCAAATTTTCTTTTCATTTTCTGATGTAAAAACATTGCCTATTATAAGATACTTGATTTGGGCTTCTAATTACCTGGCAAAATTTTATCATGTATGGAAAGCAGGATACTGGGAGATTCAAATAACACAGAGTCTAGTGGGTGTGAGAAGTTCAAAGTCACAGGAAACAAAGGAAAGCCTGTTTAGTATGAGGGTGTTAGAGGAAGAAAAGTATAGGGAGGGAGGTATTTTCCCCTCTTACCTGGGTCTGTGTCCATCATCATGCCTACCCATTCCTCAGTTGTCAGGCAGCAGACTTCCTTGTCTTTCACCATCCATGACCTGGGAGCTTCTGAGAACACTGCACCACAGAATGGCTCCACTCTGATCACACAAACATAACCATACAACTGCCCCTTGTCTAACACTTCCAAGAATTTGACTGTGAAAGTTATCTGGCACTGGGATTGGCAAAAATGGACACGAGGTAATTTGTTTATTGCATCTTCTATTTCCTTTTTCAAATCCTCATGCTTAATGTTTTCTTCAGCACATCCCAGAACTTTCCGACTCTCATCCTCCACTCCAATAAAAAGATAGCCTCCCCCAGTGTTTGCAAATGCAGATATATGGTGTGTTTCGTAGAGAACTGTTTAAACTCTACATATTGAGACTCAGGAAAAGGCAGGATTTCACCATGCTCAAGGTGGTCTCTTTGGAAAATTAGGCGAGCAGGATTCAAAAAAAAGGAAATGGAAGTTTCCCATGGTGCACAACGGAAGTTTTGCTTTGCAACCCTGGGAATTTTATTAGGAGGTTCTTTCTCCAAAAGTTTTGCATTTCTTTTCTTGGTTTCCAGGAAACAAAATGCCTCTCTTGAATTCATGGGAAGCACAGAGGTGGCAGATCTAAGGTGTAATGAAGAACCCAGGCTACAAACGCGGGGCTTGAAACGATCTTCAGGGGGAAAGTCAGTGTTCCAAGATTTAACAAAAATGTAAAAACACCTCCCTTGTTGATTAATCTCAAAGAAAGCCTGCAAATCTGAAGATTGAATAAGTGTTCTCAAAGACTCTTCTAAATCCAGCCCCATCTCCACAGGATGCTCATCGCTGTTAGCCATTTCCATCCGAATCACTCCTCCTCCTGAGTTTAATAAAGCACAGGCAGCCTGCGAAATTTTCTCCTTCTCTTGCTCTCTCTGAGTTTTCTTCAGCTTCTTTCTGTTTTTTTCCCCAAGAGTTACTTCTCCTACATTGATGACCAAGTCTGGGAGAGATAATTCTACCACCAGAGATGGATTATGTTTCTTCATGTTCGTTCTGCAACAGAAACCATTGAAACACATCTCATGTTGATGAAGTAAATTACATAGTACATAAAAATGCATTCATTAATTTATCTGAAAATATTTATTGGGTTCCTGATAAGTGCTGGGGGCTGGAGATTAAGTGGTAGATCAAAAATGAGTTCTAGCCAGTTTGGCTCAGTGGATAGAGCATTGGCCTGTGGACTGAGGCGTCCCGGGTTCAATTCTAGTCAAGGGCACATGCCCAGGTTGCAGGCTTGATCCCCAGTGGGGGGCATGCAGGAGGCAGCCTATCAATGATTTTCTCTCATCATTGATGTTTCTATCTTTCCCTCTCCTTTCCTCTCTAAAATCAATAAAAATATACTTTAAAAAAAAAAGAATGAGCACAGTCCTGCCTCTCAGAGCTTATTGTTTGAAAGGAAACATGGTTGAATGAAGCAATTGCTGGAAGAATTTTGCATTAAACCACATGAGAGATGATGGAGCACTGGGCCACAGTAGTGGCAGTGGGATGCAGAAAATTTGAGCATATATGAGAGATATTTAGGGAATAAAATTAACATTATCTGAACTAACCAGATAGAAATCGGAAGTATTCAATTTTAGTAACTGGGTTTTTGGCATAGGGAACTGGGTGGTTAGTGGTACCACTTATTGGCATAGTAAGAAGTAGTTTTTCTAAAAAATGTTTTTATTGATTTTAGAGAGACAGGAAGGGAGAGGGGGAAAAAAGAGAGAAACATCAATGAGAGGGAGAAAAATCAATCGGATGCCTCCTGCTTCCTGCATGCTCCCCATTGGGGGTCAAGGTTGCAACCTGGGCATGTTCCCTGACCAGGAATAGAACCGGTGACCTTTCAGTGCATGGGACAACGATCAACCAACTGAGCCACACCAGCCACGACATAAGAAGTCTTTTTAATTGACATCTTCTATTAAATTTGGGTGTTGGACATATTTGTGCTCATTATTTTGTTCTCTGTATTTTTTGTAGGTTTTAAATGATTCAAAACATAGAAAAATCTTTACCTCCAAAAATTTAAAAGGAGAGTAAGGAGGGTGGAGTGGAGGGGATCAATGCGTAGGGGGCGGGGGCGAAGGGACATATGTAAGACTTTCAACAATAAGGAATTATTTTAAAAATAAATAAATAAATAAAAGGAGAGTAGGGGATATAAACTGTGGGAAACCGCCTATTGTCTTCTCTAGCAGAGAGATGTGGACAAGGAGTCCGGAATGCTGGTGACCCTCGAAGCCCTGGCAAAGGTCAGGGCTATGCACCCACTGTTTAGTCATGACAATGGTGGCTGAAGCAACTTCCCCACCAGATAGTCATGTAAATCCTTACTGGTAAGATAGTCTGTCTGTTACTGGAACTTGCCTGCCTAAGGGCTACAGGTGGATCCCAAACTCAATAAAAGGATGGCAAGGCTTGAGCACAAGTGGAGTCCATCCTCTTGGCCACCCAATTTCCAAATTATTTCTTGTCTCGTGTCTTTCATTTGTGTGCGGCTCCTCTTCCAGATCCTGAACCGTGAACCACACAGAACGTGGGGGAACATAACAATAAATTTAGATCATTAGCAAGAAAGTGGTTAAACTTTTGGACTGTACACATTCTTAGAACAGGCTGGGAAATGAAGATGGTCAGGGCAGGGGGTGGACCTGATTAATGGGGAAAAGAAGGATCAATGGATTCTAAGACGTTATGATCTCAAAGAACTTGCATTTGGGAGTGGTTGAGCAAATCAATAAACCTCAACAGCACCATGGTGAGTGGGGTGGGGGGGGCTGTGGGGGGGGCGGGGGGACGATGCTTGAGATGCTTAGGATTGCATTGCCACCCGCACAGTCATTTTTCTCTTTTCCTTGATTATAGACTGAAAAAATGTGATCACAGCATTTCATTCTTTTACTTATGAATAAAGGGAATGTTCAGTGAGTGTTCATTGTAGACACACTAAGTGCTGTGAGAGATACAAAGAATCTGCCTGTTGGAGATTTATGGTTTAAGTCTCCACATCAAATAGCTTATACAGTATGTGGAGGAAAAATTGCAGCACTAAATGCCTATATTTGTAAGAGAGAAAAATAAAAATAGTGATTTCCTTCAAAATTTAAAGAACTTAAAAAAAACCAAAAAACTACTGATGTCAGCCGCCTGCATACAAGCCTTGCCTACCTGCTCTCCGAGTGAGCCATGCTTTGGTCCACCCTCTTCCCAGGCACACACCTCCAGATGTTCTGGAAGACAACACAGCGACAGTTGAGAAGCGGGACCCCTTTGTGTCTGGAGGTTCCCAGTAGGGAGTTTGCTCTTGCTTCCTGGCTTTTCAGATGAATATTAAATAGCCCACACACTTTAAAGACTCAAGGTTGGAATTTCTTATGGGGGGGCGGGGGGGGGGAGTTCTTGTTTACTTAAAACCCTCCTCCAACCCTAGCTGGTTCAGCTTAATGGATAGAGCCGTCAGCCTGCGGACTGAAGGGTCCTGGGTTCGATACTGGTCAAGGACACATACCCCAGTTACAGGCTCGATCCCCAGTATGGGGCATACAGGAGGCAGCCAATCAGTGTTTTTCTCTCTCTCTTCCTTCCTCTTGGAAATAAATAAAAATTATAAAAACAACACTAAAAGCCCTTCTCCACCTTCTCATTTTGTGCCTCCTACAGCTGACAACTAGAACTTGTGTGGGATGGTTCAGGCTTCAGCATGGGCTGTCTGGATCATTCGAATTTCCTTTACTCTCCTCCCTGTTATAATATTAATCCATACACGGAGGTCTTTCTGGCACCACAAGCACCATCCTCACAGAGTTCTCTAACTAGAGACCTGTGCATCTCCCACACATGTGAAAGGCTTGGCCTTATGGGGACCTCTGCTCCCTTCTACTAAATGGCCCCAGCTGACTAGACCAAGGGAGAAGTCAGCCTCAAGCCAGCAAAACTCTGACTTGGCTGATATGATAAAGAAAATAGATGAGCTGGGTCAACCAGTGCGTTTTGCAAGAGAATTTAATTTAGGGACCACAGCCCTGACCCTGTGGCTCAGTTGGTTGGCGTGCCATCCTGTACACCAAGAGGTTTCAGGTATGAATCCCAGTCCAAACCCATAGGATGTACAGCACCAAGAATGAACCATAATGTAAACGGTGGACTTTGGCTGATGATAACGTATAACACCAAGAATAAACCATAATGTAAATGATAGACTTTGGATGAAGTGGTCCATAGGCAAAGGAAAAAAAAAAATTTCAACTTAAACCTCATACCTGACACCTTACCAAAAAATAACTCACAATGAATCATAGAGTTAAATATGTAAAATGATAAAAAAAATTTTTTTATGAGATAACACAGGAGAAACTTGATGACCTAGGGCAGGGGTGGGCAACTCCTGGCACGTGTGCCAAACATGGCACGCCAGTAACTTTACTGACACGTGAAACCCTCTCTTATAATCTTCCATTTACAATTTTTGTGAACATTTGAATGACTTAAACGTTAAATTACAAGGAACTGGAAAGACACTTGATGTTATGTTTGGTTACATAAAGGCTTTTGAAAAGAAACTGGAAGTCTTTAAGAGGAATGTGGATGGTGAGAGATTTAGATATTTCCCAAACCTCAAGAGGCACATCAAAGACCTCCCAAAAGATGACAGAACAGACTGTCAAAGCCTTCAAAAGCTGTTTTTAAACATCATCGAGTCAACTATTGAGCAGTTCTTCTCAAGATTTGCGAAATTCAGAGAACTGGAAGAGACAGCAAAATTCATGAGGTTTCCAAACAGCATGAAACTGAAGGAACTAAACTTACAAATGTTTTCATGGATAGACATGGATGACTTTGAAATGCAGTTGATTGAATTTCAGAGTAGCTCAATTTGGAAGCAGAAATTTATTGACCTTAGAGTTGACTTGGAAAACATTGAAAAAAAGCGATTAGAGACAGGAGTACCAGAGAGAAGTGTCGAAAACGAACTATTGAGTACTTGGAATGCCATTCCAGAAAATTTTTTCTGTTGAAAAAACTTTGCAACAGTGTTACTCTCCATGTTTTCATCCACATACACTTGTGAATCTTTGTTCTCAGTGATGAATTTTGTTAAGTCTCATAATAGGAGTAGCCTGATGGATGAAAGTAGTAGCTCTGTATATTTCTGAAGGTCACAAAATAGAAACCTGATGTAAAATCTCTGTCATCAGTGATGCAGCAGCAAGAGTCCCACTGATAATATCAAACAGAGTCATAAAGTTTTCTGTTGGATTATCAGTGTACATGTATACATTAAAAAATAGCCCTAACCGGTTTGGCTCAGTGGATAGAGCGTCGGCCTGCAGACTGAAAGGTCCCAGGTTCGATTCCTGTCAAGGGCATGTACCTTGGTTGCGGGCACATCCCCAATAGGGAGTGTGCAGGAGGCAGCTGGTTGATGTTTCTCTCTCAAAGATGTTTCTAACTCTCTATCTCTCTCCCTCTCTGTAAAAAGTCAATAAAATATATATTTTTTTAAAAATGTACTTTTCATCATCATATACTGTGTTTTTGTCGCTCGAATGAATTTTATTATTTCTTCAAGGTTCTTCACATACGTACACCTTAAGAGATATCAAGTAGGCATAACATGTTCTCAAAAAATTAGGGTTGGCCAAAACCGGTTTGGCTCAGTGGATAGAGCATTGGCCTGCGGACTGAAAGGTCCCAGGTTCGATTCCGGTCAAGGGCATGTACCTGGGTTGTGGGCACATCCCCAGTAGGAGATGTGCAGGAGGCAGCTGATCAATGTTTCTCTCTCATCGATGTTTCTAACTCTCTATCTCTCTCCCTTCCTCTCTGTAGAAAATCAATTAAAATATATTTAAAAAAAAAAAATTAGGGTTGGAGAAAACCAAAATGGTGGCATAGGTAAACACCAGAGTTTGCTGCCTCGCACAACCACTTCAAAAATACAACTAAAAGACGGAACGGACATCATTCAGAACCACAAGAAGGCTGGCTGAGTGGAAATTCTACAACTAGAAGGAAAGAGAAAAGCATACCGAGGCTCAGAGGAGGTGCAGTGCGGAAGTAAAATACAAAGGTACAGAGGCGCACGCGGCGGCTGGGGGCGTGGTTATCTTTTTCAATCCGGAGGGAGTCTCAAGCTCTGAGCTCCAGTTCCAGGCAAGTCTTTGGGGACCCAGACTCATACGGGAGAAGTGGGACTGTCTGGCATTGGTCGGAACTAGAGGGCAGCTTTCTCTCAGAGGTGTTTGCAGTGATTGCTGGGACACTGAGAAGCGGGGTCTCTGAGGGTAGGACTGAGAGCAGCCATAACTGCTAGCCCCGCCCTTTGATCCCCTGAGAGACTGCCCCGCCCTGCCCAAGCCATGCACGGAGGCTTTTGCTGGATAGCCTCAGGAAGAGGCTAGATTAGCACCTCCCTAGAGATCCAGGAGCCGGTGTGCCCAGTGGTCAGAGTGGGACCATCCAGTTTGCAGCTCCTTGGATCAATAAAGGACACATTCAGGTGGCAGATTCAGTGAGCACCAAAGCCCCACCGAAGCAAGTCTTGCCCCGGAGGGGTGTCTCCAACACAGAAGTTCTCCCACTGCAGACACAGCTAATTCTCACAGCCAATTGGCCTGCAGGTCAATTCCTCCCAGTGATACCTACAACAATCAAGGCTTAACTACAACAAGACTGTGCACAAAGCCCACAAGGGGGTGCACCAAGAGTGTCCACCTTAGGTAATTGGGGAGGCTGAGCCCCTGGGCCCTAGAGGACACTTAGCACAGAAAACCACTTTATCAACACAGGGAAGCATAAAAAATGTGGAGACAAAGAAATAGGACACAAATGACAGAAATGGAGGAAAGCAAACTACTGGATATAGAGTTCAAAACCATACTTTTAAGGTTTTTCAAGAACTTTCTAGAAGCCGCCAATAAATTTAGTAAGACCCTCAAAAAGTCTGGTGAAACCTCCAATAAATGTAGTGAGATCCTCAAGAAATCTAGTCAGACCCTCGAGGTTATGATAAAGGACCAACTGGAAAGTAAGCATACACTGACTGAAATGGAGGATATTATACAGACTCCCAACAGCAGACTAGAGGATCACAAGAATCAAGTCAACGATTTGAAATACGAAGAAGCAAAAAACACCCAACCGGAAAAGCAAAATGAAAAAAGAATCCAAAAATACGAAGATAGTGTAAGGAGCCTCTGGGACAGCTTCAAGCGTACCAACATCCGAATTATAGGGGTGCCAGAAGAAGAGAGAGAGCAAGAAACTGAAAACTTATTTGAAGAAATAATGACAGAAAACTCCCCCTACCTGGTGAAAGAAAGAGACTTACAAGTCCAGGAAGTGCAGAGAACCCCAAACAAAAGGAATCCAAAGAGGACCACACCAAGACACATCATAATTAAAATGCCAAGAGCAAAAGACAAAGAGAGAATATTAAAAGCAGCAAGAGAAAGTCAGTTACCTACAAGGGAGTACCCATACGACTGTCAGCTGATTTCTCAACAGAAACTTTGCAGGCCAGAAGGGAGTGGCAAGAAATATTCAAAGTGATGAATGCCAAGAACCTACAACCAAGATTACTTTATCCAGCAAAGCTATCATTCAGAATTGAAGGTCAGATAAAGAGCTTCACAGATAAAGAAAAGCTAAAGGAGTTCATCACCACCAAACCAGTATTATATGAAATGCTGAAAGGTATCCTTTAAGAAGAGGAAGAAGAAGAAAAAGGTAAAGATACAAATTATGAACAACAAATACGCATCTATCAACAAGTGAATCTAAGAATCAAGTGAAGAAATAATCTGATGAACAGAATGAACTGGTGATTAGAATCAGGGGCATAGAAAGGGAATGGACTGACTATTCTTGGGGGGAAAAGGGTGTGGGGGATGCGGGAAGAGACTGGACAAAAATCATGCACCTATGGATGAGGACAGTGGGTGGGGAGTGAGGGCGGAGGGTGCGGTGGGAACTGGGTGGAGGGGAGTTATGGGGGGAAAAAAGAGGAACAAATGTAATAATCTGAACAATAAAGATTTAATTTTAAAAAATTATGGTTGGCATGCAGAAGAATTTTGAGTCAGAGATTTTGCTGGTTTTGGCACACACTCACAAAAAGGTTGCCCACCCCTGACCTAGGGCCTAGTAAAGAATTCTTGGATAGCCCTAACCGGTTTGGCTCAGTGGATGGAGCATTGACCTCTCTCATCGATGTTTCTAACTCTCTATC